CTGTCCTTATCTGTCAGGATACTGAGTAACTGCCAGGATACTCTGTCACCTGCTGAGCCTGAGATTAATTTCTGAATAGACTACTGGCATCTGAGATCTACTTTTTATAACCACTTAACAAACCCATTAAGATTTTAATAGAAAAATGAACCTTTCACACTATGCTGAGCACTGTTAAGAGATACAGAGTACATGTGTGTGTGTGTTCCTTGCTCTCAAGAAACCTACAAACTAGTTAAGAGAGAAACACATTGAGAAGCAAAATCTAAAAAACTGACAGAATTCTTAAAGCATTCTAAGGGGTAACAGTAGGGAGAACAAAACTTTATCACTTTCTTATTGGTACTCAAAACCCTTCAGTCCTACCATTGACATTTTACTCCCCTTTTTTCTGAACTGTGATTCTTCTCTTCCTTTTTTGGAATCATGACTCACATCAGTCCTGGGGCTGCCAAAGTCACCTTTAAGAGGCTAAAGAGCAAGCTCAGGGAAAAGGCTACATTCAATCAATGGCAAATGGCTTCAACAAAGCCCAGACTAGAGTCTAAGAAAGTATGGAAGGAATTCAACAATGTGTTTCAGGGCAGAGACCACATCTCAATCACTGTGACAGCTCCTGAAGCACTTAGACTATGTACCTTTCACATCGGGTTCACTGCATTGAATTGTTGGCATAAAACAGGAGAGAGTATCTTAAGTTGATGAAAAGATTTTCCCATCAACGAGGGGAAAGACCCATCTTTACAAAAAGTTCAGGCTTCTGAGACACCAAGCACAGAAATGAAGAGCATTCACAACTGACAGCCTTGGACTGCGAACAGAGGGCCAGCCCTGTTTTAATGACCTGATACGTTACAAAACTGAAAAAGGAAAGCAATTCAAAATTTTTATTTCAGCTCTGATAGCTAAAAAGATCAAACAAAATCTCCTAACCTAGTTTCAATTTTATTCAATTGAACCTTATTCCAACCAGCCTCAGGACTTACAGTCACTTATAGGGATACCAAGAAACACAAAAATACATGGGTATTTCCAATACTTTACACAGCTATCAAAATGTTTACATGCCCACACACACTACCACTCTATGCAGAACGGGACCATCATTTCCTTCTATCATTTATTCAACCACATGCAAGTGAAATGACCTCAAGTTGCTGGGCCCTTTGTTAAAAGGCTGACATTTCACCAAGGTATTGACATGTTAGTCTGGAGCTCCATAACCCACTCCCATTCCCTTAACAGAGCTGGACCAGAGAATAGCTGTCCAGAATCAGCTCTGCTAACATTTTAGGCACAAACTAAAATAGAAGTCAAGAACCAGCAAGTCACCAGAAAATGAGTGCCAGACAAAATGCAAACCTCACCTCTTCTTAAAAGACACAAATAAGGCACTGCCAAGATATTTTCTCTTTGCTCGTAAAGACAAGTCCTAGATCATTTCTCTACAGCTAAGTTTTTATAATCCCCTAGCATGCCAGTAAAAGACTCAAAGTATAAACTGGGTCATCCTATAAAATCTCCAAGGTCTACAACCAGAGTGTAATCTCAGGATTAACCCTGCTACAAATCCTAGAGAGCTTGCTGCCTCCACAATACTACTATACTCAAGAAGTGGCCAAAAGCTGACCTATATTAACCATATTGTTCAAAACATTTCAGGAAATACACACTAAACAAATCTCCCTACCCTACCACCAAATCCAAACTTTCCTTTCGCGAAAACTCACTCCCATCATTCCAAACCACTTTCTCCCTCTCCTTCAGATCCAGTACCTGGTAGACAAAACAAATGGTAGGTGCTTGACAACCGTACAGGAATTTGACATCGATGACATGCAGCTCCTCCAGGCGGATGTTAAAGGCCTTGAGCTCTTTGTTGTCGCGGTCTAGAGGAATAACCTTGAAAAGGCCATCATAGAGCCGCAGGCCAATCATGCGGCACTCGGGGTCGATGATGCCAATGATGCCAGTCTCTGAGGGGCGGCCAATGCGGTCCTGAGAAACCAAACTGGCATTAGGGAAGAACCTCAACACACACAAAGTAACAGAGGACACCAGGCACCCTGTCCCAGGAGATTTTAGGAGAGGTAGTAAAACTAATGACATCTGGAAAGCCAGGGAGCCCAAAAGTCAGTGCATTTGTTTTTTTGCATAACAATGAATTTCAATGAATCATTGCCTGTCCCTTGGACTGTCAAAACAACTTAAACCCTTAGGTGTTTTCTTCCCGGCATTTCAATATTCTTCACTGAATCATAACAGCCCTACCTGGAAAATTCTGATCAGCCTAAAGCAGCCACCTCACCTGGACGTTGCCATGGGCTCGTGTAATGATATCAATGCTCTCGCCACTCTGCTTATACTCCAGGATGCAGGCATTGTATTTAGCTGTCAAGATAAACAGCAAGTCCTTGCTCTCCCCCTGGAAACCAAGATTATGCCATCAAAAGAGATTCTTTCAAAAACAGGCACCTGTCCATCCTTTAAGCACGCTAAACTCCTTAAGAACTTTCCATTTCTTCTCCCCCTAAAGAGAAATACATGGTGAGTTTGTACCACACACTAGGTACACACAGCCCCAAGGGTACGTACAAAAGGCCAGAACTGAAGCTGGTAAACATCTAGTCCTCATTATCATGACTCTCCATCTCTCTGCTCCATATGCAGTATCTTCATCTCTCAAGCTAATTTCAACCATTCCAGTTAAATTCTGAAAGATGTATGTAATGCCTCCCCCACTCCTCTCCATGTATTTGGAGAAAGAAAAAACATGGGTAATAATGAAAGCTAAAATGGATCTGCAAAGTCTTACTTTATTTAACACAGACATCAAAAACATGAGTCTCTTTGTTCAAAGAATTATAATTAAAACTGTACCCATTGCTTTTTTGTAGAATTCAGTTGACATACAATGAAGCAATATGGTGGTTATTTAGATAAAAAAGTTTGAATTACAATGATAAAGAAAATTCCTTTCACAACAGAGAATGCTAGGCCTTGTGTTACTGAATCATTTCATCTTCATAGTAACTCAAAGAAGTGGATACTGTTACTCCCAATTGTAAACAAGGAAAATTCAAGGCTCTAAAAGATGCTTTAAGTGACAACTAAAGTAAGAATTAATAAGGAATGAAGCTTAGACTTCATAGCCTACCCTCTGAATCACTGAGCAATATGGTGACCCACATTTCAAATTCCTTAATCTCGCCTTCCTAAAGAAGTCAACTTGATACATTTTTTCCTAAGGAATCTCTCCTACTTCTGTGAAGCTTATGAAGAGCAGTATACGCTATACAGAACAACCTACAATCAACAGTTCTTTCATTGCTTGTCCCAACTCAGAACACTTACCTTGGGCCTGAAAAGCTCCATGACAGCAATCTTCCCGTACATGCCCACCTCTTTGACTGGCCGAAGCCCCTCCGCAGTGACCACATAGATCTCTAATCTTGTGTTTTTGGCAATCAACAGGTTCAAGTCTTCTGCTGAAGTAAAGTGTCCTGAAAGAACAGATCCTCTAACTTTTGAGGCTGGAGGAAAGGCCTCCCAAGCCCTTCTAGACAATCCCATCCCTGTCTGCCTCATTTACTTCACATATTTTTGACTGCCTCCATTTACTCCCCTTCTTGCCAATCCAGCACTTCAGAGTCTCACTTCACGCATTCAACAAAGCTGCTTCCCTAAGACTGAGAAAACTGAATGGAACACCTAAGAACAGCGCATCCTTCAATGGACAAAGACTGTGAAACCCTCTGGATGGCTCTGCTGAATTTTACTTTCCTATTACAGTAATTGAGACGGCTGGAGAAAGTGTTTGGTCTTATCCAGCCCCCATCTAAAGCCTCACAAAACTTTCACCAAACAGACCAAGCCAAATGAAGAAAATTCCCAGAGCTTTCTGTGCTTTCTCTACACCCCTTGCTCTCCTAGCAATCTACCAATACCACTGTGGGCTGCCTGCAGCATTCTGAACAAGAGACTTTTGTTCCGGAATCATGATTAGCATTTACATAAACATACAAGTTTGGGGTCTGCGAAGTCAACTGAGAACGGGAGTTCAAGATGAATATTCTCCCGCTGGGGGGGCATCAGTGTCCTCAAGGATCTGTGCACACAGTCAACAAGGCAAACCCAGCACTGGGGCAGGGCCAATCAAACCCTCTGATCCAGCAGCTTGGTGAAGTAAACAACGGCCCCAGGCAAAAGGGTGGGTCTGGAGAGGGCTCCTTTCCCTCTTTAGGTGAGTGCGGGCATTGCTCACATTCCTCCACCTCCTGGGTCCCCTGAGTCCCCCACATAAAATTTTGACCCAAAAGTCGCCGTCACCACCGCCCCGTTCTCAGACATGAGGCCAATTTCGAGGCTCAAGCAACCGCTGCACAATCAACTCCGACTTTGCTCGTCGTCCCACTGGGTTCTGCCCCGTCCTCGGGGCCAAGTGACTTACGAAGACGAAAGAGGACCCCCACACACAGAGCAGCCACTAATACCCAAAGGGTGCCTGTCAGGACAGCTCCTTGGAGGTCGCGGGCTGGGAGAAGGTCCGCGGCCGCCAGCGCCTTCCACTCCCGAGGCCGGTCCTGCCCGGCCGGCCCTGAGGCCGCGGGCCTCCCTTAGGCCTCGGTTCCCACCAGCTCCCTCCTTCGCCAGGGTCTCCGGCCCTGCCAGCCTCACCAGTCACACAGCCGTTCACGGCGGTGGGCTTCTGTGCCGTTACCACGTAGTTGTACGACATGTCGAGGCTTGGGCCGGCCCGTCGGGAGCCGAACGCGACGACAGAGAGATGGACACGAGCAAAGAGACAGGGAGCCCCCACCCGCACGCAGCCAACTCCACTGCCGCTGCCTCCGCCCCAGAGACACGTTGCAGGCCAGAGCGGCCGGGGCGCGGGGCATCACGGGACGGCCTCACCTGGCCTCTTGGAGGACTCACGGAGCCCTAGGCGGCCAACCAAGGGAGGCCCCGCCCCCTGGGCCCCGCCCCGTCTCTTACCGCGGAGCCCGGAGTACCCGGATGAGGGCAAACCGTTGGGGGTACTTGCGAAGTGGTGTCTGCTGCGGAGGTGGCTGAGGCTGGCGTGAGCCGGGGCGGGGGGCGGGGAGGTCCTTCTACACTCTCGGAGTTCACCTGCTGGCCCCCGTGCCCCTCAGAGCCCGTCCTCTTCTTCCCTCCTTCATTGCTTCAGGAGCCCTCAGGACTGTTCCTGTTTTGGGAACCGAAAGGACCGCAGAGGCCTAGAGAGAGAGTTGACAACGATCTGGGAACATCTCCGACTAGAAATGTGCCTCTCTGCCCTTACCGCTTCCAAATCCAGCCGGTGCCCCCACCCGGCCTTAAAACAACCAGCCCGCCTCACCTGAGGGCCGGGATGCTCACCTTCAGACGCGGGAAGGGCTCACCAACTCACTCACCCAGCATTATCAGTGCTCCCGTTGCCATGCAAATTCTGAACTTAGACACAAAATCTAAACTTCGATGCCAGAACCTTAATGACCCAGAAGGAGATTCCAGTCAGCAGTGCAAGGCCTGATGTGGCCAGGTGACATCAGACAGGCTCCCCAAGGAGCTTGAAGCATCTGCAGAATGCCAGAGAAAACCAAGTCCTATTATAGAGATGAGGCTGCTCAGGCTCAGAGGGAATCTGTTTACCTAAGATCTCCCCAGTTGAGGCAGAGAAGATCCTGAGGTACAGAACCAGATCTGTACCAGGTTGTTACAGTGATGTGTGTACACACACATGCAGAATGAGCCCAGGACACTGGTAACCTAGGTGGAAATGAGTTGTATGATTTACACCTGAGGTTTGGCACAGCAGGTACTCTACCTAAACAAACTGAAATAGAGCACAGGCTTTGTAAAAAGACTAGGCATGGATTTGAATCCTGACTTAACTAGTATGACTGGGACGAATCACTAGATCTCTTGAGTTTTCTATAAGTAAAATGGGGTCACCAGCAGTTTGCTCCCTCCTGGTGTGGTGCCAAGGCCAGTAAGAGCAAGTATGTGAAGATCTTTGTAACTTTTTCACTTCTAAGGCATGTGGGTAACTTTGCTCCTTGATTATGAGGTGGGTACTGTTTCTAGGCATTAAAGGCAGCCCTGTGCCAGGCATGGATCGATCTGTCTTCCGGCAGCTAAGTTCAGGTTTGAACCTTGGTCAGCCCCATGCTGTTCTCCATCCCTAGCCCACGTACTAGAGTTTGGACTTGGATCAAAGTCTGGGGACAGCTCCCTACTTCTGAGGCACTGGAGGTGTGATTGTGCTAGTTGGTTGCAAGTGCCTTCAGCAGTTTGTATCTTTACCACCCCTGCAGGTGCCTTCACTGTGCTCAGACCTACGTAGCACTTACAGGATTCTCCACCCTGTAGTAGCTCAGTGCAGAAGTGTGACCTCAGCGTGTTTCAGAGCCTCCCCACCATGGTAAGTCCTGTAGGGCGAGGGTAAGGGGAGGATTGTGGTCTTAAAGCAGTGAGGATCCCAGCCCTGGGCACATTGGACTTCCTTACACCCTGACTGAGAGATGCTGCCACCTGATGGGGGTTCAGAGGTTTAGAAAGAGGCTCATCCTTTCTCAGGCATGTTCTATGATTCCCTCCCTTTCCACTGGTCCCAGCCAGGCCTGAAGCTGGCCTCTGAGTTCCTCTGAAACCCCTTTGCCCAAGTTTGGGTCATGCATTTAAGTTAGAAGATATAACAGTTATTTGCTGTAATAGTCACTGTGCCAGTCACAGAAGGAACCAGGAAGAATGACCTCTTGAGCCTGGGGCATGTGTGGGCTGCTCCCAGAGCTGAGATCTACAATATGAGAGGCTCGCCATGTCCCTGGGCTTTGCTCCAGGCCCACTCTAAAACTGGTCTAAACCAAAGCAGGCCTTGAATAAATCTGGGTTCAGATTTCAGCCTGATAACCCACCAGCTGTGTGAAGGCTTGACCTCTCTGAGCCTGTTTTTCTTCATCTGCAATATGGCAGCTTGAGGCCTGCTACCAAGTGACTGTGAGGTATTGATGAGAGCAGAATCCTAGGGGACTCACATAATGTCCAACTTACTTTCCTTTTCCATTCCTTCAAGTCACTAGGGACCAGGAATGGCTCTGGTGCAGAATGGCTGATACTCTCAGGCAGGACAGTCTTGGATAGTAGTGGTACTGGGCTTGGAATTGACACCAGCTCAGAACTTCATTGTGTGTTCCAATCTATGGTAGGCTCTAAGAGCCACTTGTCATGCCCTTCCTAGGGCAAGACCTCTGTCACTCTGCAGCTTCCTTCAGCCCTTTGAGAAAGCAAGCTGATAAGGTTAGAATGAAACGAGGCAGGCCTGGGCACTTGCTGGCTGTATGACTGCAAGCGCAATCATTTAACTGTGTCTCGGTTTCCTCCCTGGGCTAATCTTTCCTCTATAGACTTGTTAGAAAAATTAAATGAAACATATTCAGAAACACTTAGAAATAGGCCTGGCTCTTAGTCCCTGCTTGACAAATTAAGCCAATCTTATTATTCTGCTTGCTGTCTTGTCTACTAACCTGGGTACTGTCCTCATCCTTAATTCAGGGGTGGCCCTGGCCCTTGCTGGAGTCAGGAAAGGCCGCCAGGGAGGCATCAGAGCTACATTTTGCACAAAAGAACCAACCTCCGGCTCGTGGGCTCAGGAAGGAGCTGAGGCCGGAAACACACCTTGCCAGGATGTGGGTCAGCTGCAGGCCACCAGGTGGTGCTGAGAGCCCTCTTTGGATTCATGTTGGACCTGGGTCTCTGTCTCTAGAGGACAAAGGAAGAGGCATCATCCCAACGCACACCCTTGTTTACTGGCTCCAGCTTTTCAGAGCCTGTTCAAAAAAGGGAGTAGCTCTTTTTTATTGAGGTTTTACTATATAACAGGTACAAGTTCTACTAATTCCCTGTTTTACAAAGGAAGAGTTGAGCTCAGAACAGTGATACATCTTCACTGAGTTTTCACAGCTAATGAGAGGTAGGAGTAGGATTTGAACCTAAGTTCCTGATTGCAGAGCCCAAGCTCTCAACCATTTAATCCCCGCACAGCTCCCCTCTGCCTGACACCCCCCCACACACATGCAATTCAAGTCAGCTGAGCCCAGTGACACTTCTCTAGCCCTCAGGTCAGCCTGCCCATGACCTCCTTCCTGAAGCTACCCACAGCCTGCCATGTTCTTCCTGTGGCTGGTGAGGCCCCTGCCCACCTCCTTGTGCCAGCTCCTGATTGCTCAGGCCTCTGTCACTGGAGCCACCACACTATTTCACACTTCTGGGGCTTAGTTTATGGCTCCTTCTGTCTGGAATGTCCTCCCTTCTCCCTCTTCCATGCCCTGCTTTTTGCCTACTTCCTACTTATCCTTTACTAAGACTTCCAGTGTTGTTCTGGAGGCAGAGGTCCCCTCTTCTGAGTCCGCATTGGACATGTGCACCCCTCTCATGTAGCATGTGGAAATGGTCTTTGTGTTCCATAGACGGCAGGAATAGCGTTCTGCTCTCTATACATACAGAGTCTAGTTCTGGACCTGGCCCACCAGAATGATGAGGAAATGTTCTCCCTCCGTTGGAGGCCCAGCTGCAGCATAGAGTGGGGGGGTAGCTGTCCAGCCCCTTTGCCCAGCTCAGCCTGAAGCTTCTCTTCCTTTGACTAAAGCAGATGTGGGCCCCAATTTCATTAGTTTTCTTTCTTTTTTTTTTTTTTTATTGCGGACACTTACTTATTTTTTGGTGATAATGAAGTTTGAATTCAGGGCCTCACACTTGTTAGGCAGGTGACCTACCACTTGAGCCACTCTGCCAGCCATTTTTAGTGTTGGGTATTTTTGAGATAGGGTCTCTCTCTCTCTTTCTCTTTTTTTTTAATTCATTTATGAGATAGGGGCTCTTTTTGTTGTTCTTGTTGTTTTCTATGAGACTGGGGTTTGAACTTAGGGTTTCTTGTAGTTACAAAGTGTGTTGAATATTTTTGAGATAGGGTCTTGCAAACTATTTTCCCAGGCTGGCCTCAAACTGTAATCCTTCTGATCCCTGCCTCTTGAGTAGCATGAGCCACCAGTGCCCTGCCCTGAGGATTCTTAACTCCCTCGTTTTCTTTGTAATGAAATAGTTTTTCAGAATAAACTGAAACTATAATGCAAAAAGTTTATAGATTACACACTGAACAAAAAAATCACAAACTAAGAAGTAAAGTTACACAGGCTGGCAGAATGGCTTAAGTGGTAGAGCACCTGCCTAACAAGCTTGAGGCCCTGAGTTCAAACCCCAGTACCACTACCAAAAAAGACATAAAGTCAGGCATCCTCCTAATAAAATGTGGCCCAGCTAAAGGACACCACTGTGTTCCTGGAGTTCCTGAGTGATCATAGAGAGAGATCTTCAGCACAGCAGTGTGGCTAGGCAAGATGGGGTGTCTTTGCTAACCACACCCTGACCCTCCTCTGTGCTTCTCCCCACAGACTTCCAAGAAGCTGTTGAACTCAGTGGTAGGCTGTGCTGATGATGCCCTTAATGGACTGGTGGCCTGCAACCCCCAGCTGCAGCTCCTGGAAGGCCACCGTGTAGCCCTCCGTTCTGACCTGGACAGCCTCAAGGGCAAAGTGGCACTGCTGTCAGGTGGCGGCTCCGGCCATGAGCCTGCTCATGCTGGTGAGTGCCTTGGGGTGGGGGTGGGAGGTGCTGGACCAAGCAGACTGGAATCCTGGGAGAATCTTAATGCTGGAATGAGGTACTGGACAGCAGGGCCCAGGCCAGAGTCAAGAATGGGCATGGTTCCCCTCTGCTGTGTTCTGGGGCTCATCACAACCCCTAAGTCTCTGAATCTCAGTTTGTAGATCTCTGGAAGTGTGGGGGGAGCCAAAAGGGGTCAACCATGTAAAGAACTGGGGGGATCTTCTACCACAAACATATAGTAGGACTTAGCCAGCCATGGAGCCAGACACATGGGATGCCCCAGCAACCACAGACACTGTCCTTACCCAGCACCTTCACTCCACCTTTCTGTCTCCAGGTTTTGTTGGGAAAGGTATGCTGACTGGAGTCATTGCAGGAGCTGTGTTCACCTCCCCTGCCGTGGGCAGCATCCTGGCAGCCATCAGGGCCGTGGCCCAGGCAGGCACAGGTCAGGCTGGCATGTGGGAGGGTGTGCTGCAGGGAGGGCACACTGGGGGTAGGTGAGGGCAAGTACCAATGGGGTCCTGCCGGCTACTTCTGTAGTGGGAACCCTCCTCATTGTGAAGAACTACACTGGGGACCGGCTCAACTTTGGTTTGGCCCGAGAGCAGGCCCAGGCTGAGGGCATCCCCGTGGAGATGGTGGTCATTGGGGATGACAGTGCCTTTACTGTCCTGAAGAAGGCAGGCCGGAGGGGCCTCTGTGGCACAGTGCTTATTCACAAGGTGAGCCTCCCTACCTACCCCAGACACTGATGCTAGCTTAAAGTAACTGAACTTTTCCAGCTCTTCCTTTACCCTGACCCAACAAAGCCCCCCATCCACTCAACTGCCTAAGTCCAAAATACAGCATTCTCCCAGACCTATCTCCTCTCCTTCCCCACCCTAATCCTACTCAGTCAGCACCCTGCCCTGGCACTTCTCTCAGAATGCCTTTATAGTACACGTCCTATTCGTACCTGCCCTCCCTGCCTGTGCCTTGGTGCAGGGGGCATCTGTTCACACCTAATCGATGTAGCCACCTCTTCATTGGGCTCCCCTCTCTGCCTCCAGCCTTACTGCCTGGCCCAGTCTGTTCCTCATGCTACCCCTACCACTAGAGGTTCAAAGCCAACTCTAGAGAAACAGTTTGTGAGACCCTATCTTGAAAATACCCAACAAAGTTGAGTGCCAGTGTTTCATGCCTGTAATCCCAGCTACTCAGGAGGCAGAGATCAGGAGGATTGCAGTTTGAAGCCAGCCTGGGCAGTTAACAAGCTATCTCATGAGCTCATCACAAGAAAAAATACAAAAAAGGGCTGGCGGAGTGGCTCAAGGTGTCAGCCCTGAGTTCAAATCCCAGTACTGCAAAAAAAAAAAAAAAGAATCCAACACAAAAAAGGACTGGCAGAGTGGCTCAAGTGGTAGAGCACCTGGCTAGCAAGCGTGAGGCTCTGAGGTCAAATCGCTTTGCCACCAAAAAAAAAAGTACATCTTACCAGCACCCAGAAGGCTGAGGCAAGAAGATCTCAAGTTCAGGGCCAGCCTAGACTACATGTTGAGACCAGGTCTCAACAAAACAAAATATATTATCTGACCAGTTTCCCCAACCACTTGGGTTCCCAAAGTCAGCCCACGTCCTTGGGCCAGATGCACCACACGTTTGGCCCACCTCACTGAGTCTCTCCAACTTCTACTCTCCACACCCTTACCTTCCTCTTCTTTGTTAAAAACCATGTCCCTGAATCTGCTGGGCTGAGACTCGTCTCCACGAATTTGCTTATGTCCTGTCTGTGGCCTGGAGAATCCTTTCCCTGGTCAGCTTTGTGTAGCCGGCTAGCTGCCTTTTTATAGAGGCCCTGCTCTGATGTCTCCCCACTGAGGCTCTCCCTGATTTCCTCAGTGCTCCTTCAACCTCCTGTTGTGTATTCTGTCATTGTACTTGCCACCTACCTTGCAGCAAGTTTCATTGTGGTCTCTTTGCTTCCTCTCCTCTCCCCAGACTGTGAGCTCCTTGAAGGCAGGGACTGTGACTCAGGCGGGTCTGTCCCTTTGCAGCATATACTAGATGCGTTAGATGCTTGGTGGTGGGTGGATGGATGAAGAGTAAAGTAAGCCACCATATATATGCTATAGGAGAAAGAACTCCAGACTGGGAATGAAGAAACTGGCCACTAACTAGCTTACCTGACACTGGAAAAGTCACCTCCTCTCTCTGGACCTATTTCCCTATTTGTAAAGTCCCTTCTGGCTACAACAGACTAGAATTTTGTTTGTTTGTTTTGCAGTACTGAGGCCTGAATTCAGGGCCTACACCTTGAGCCACTCCAACAGCCCTTTTTTGTGAAGGGTTTTTCTGAGACGGTCTCATAAACTACTTTCCCGGGCTGGCATCAAACTGCAATCCTCCTGATCTCTGCCTCCTGAGTAGCTAGGATTACAGGAGTGAGCCACCAATGTCCAACTGTTTGTTTTGCTGAACCTGAACCCAGGGTTTATACATGCTAGGCAAGCGCTCTACCACTGAGCCACATTCCCAGCCCCAGACTGGAATTTTTGAAGATTTCCAGCAGATACATTATGAATGAGGGGAATACTCTTCTGCTCTGAATGTGACAAGCCAAGTTGAATGGAAATCCTAAAACTCCCCTTTCCCAGTAAGAAACTCTTTCCTGACCTATCTTCTGTCCCAAAATGGTTCATGACTCCTTCCCCTCCTGGGGCCTCTTTGTGTGGCTACAGGTGGCAGGTGCCCTGGCTGAGGCAGGTATGGGGCTGGAGGAGATCACAAATCGGGTGAGCGTGGTGGCCAAGGCAATGGGTGAGTGCCAGCTCAGGGATGGGGGCATGGGCAGACCCTTGGACTAGAAGCAGCTCCCTGTTGGAGGGGGGCTTTCCAGGTTATTCTCTAGAGGCTGAGGGAAGGTTTCCCTAGTGGAGGCTTCCGGACCTGGTGGCTATGGGTACCAGAGCTAGGTTTCTTTTTCATCACTGAGATGAAAAGTCCAGCTACCTTGCTCAGGAAAGAGAGTGCCTGTGTTCAAGGCTTCCAAGGCCTTGTCTCTGCAGTCCTGCTGAGAGCAGAGCAGCCATCTTTCATGCTTCATTTCTTCTAGGTACCCTGGGAGTGAGCTTGTCCTCCTGCAGTGTCCCTGGCTCCAAACCCACCTTTGAGCTCGCATCCAATGAGGTGGAGCTGGGCCTGGGTAAGTGTGTGACCACCCCTGTCCCAGCCAGGCCTGCTCCTCTGCCTTGAGTTTTGCCCATGTCCCAGGCCTTGGAGCCATCTACCTGGTCTTCTCTGCTCTATTAGGCGGTCTCAGGATTCCTAAGTGGGCACTTGAGACCCAGGCTGCCCACCCTCCTGATTTCTGCCCACTTTGCCATCCATACCCATAGCTCTGGTCATGTGAAGCTCTGTGCAGCACCCACCTCTTTGTCTTTATACCATTTTGGATCCTTCTGTGTTTGTCCAGATGCAGCTCTTCTGATAGAGGCTGTTCAAAGACCACCCCAGCTGTGCAGCAAGGCTTTCCTCTTTCCTCTTCATGTTTCCAAAAGCAAAGGGGATCAGCACCCTGGGGGCCTTGCTGTGACTGCCTCCAGCCACTCTGATTCTTGGCTGTCACCACCACCATGCCATGAGACCCCAGAAAGTAGAAACTGCGTATTTTTCATTATTTCCTGCTTTTTACCCATTGCTCACATCCACGGTGCCTAGCCTGGTGCCAAGCACTCAGTAGGTCCTTGATAAAAACCTGAAGAGCAAAGGCCCTGAGTTAGTCAGCAGTGATCACGTCTCTCCACAGGAATCCACGGGGAAGCTGGTGTACGTCGGGTAAAGGTAGGTGAACTCCCTGGCCCAGCCCCACCCAAGGTCAAGGCTTCCCGGATGCAGCTTACTCCTGGGTCCCTCTGACAGATGGCAACTGCTGACGAGATTGTCACACTCATGCTCAACCACATGATGGATGCCTCCAGTGCATCCCATGTGCCTGTGCCATCAGGTGAGTGCCTTGTTGTCCCCAGACTCTCAGCCTGTCCTACCCCTCTGGGCAGAGGGCAGAACCTCACTGTGGGTATCACATCCACCCACAGGCTCCTCAGTGGTACTGATGGTCAACAACCTGGGTGGCCTGTCTTTCCTGGAGCTGGGCATCATAGCTGATGCTGCTGTGCGCTCTCTGGGTGAGCCCATACTGGGAGGAGAACCCTCCAACCCTTTGAATCTCAAGATAAAAAAGGCAGCTGAGGGCTGGGGATGTGGCTCAAATAGCAGAGCATCAATCTAGCAAGCATAAGGAGCTGAGTTCAAACCCCAGTACAGCCAAAAAGAAAGGCAGCCAAGGTAGGGTCTTGTGATGGCTCAGACAGAGTATGTGCTTGTTCTCACATGAGCTTGAGTTAAATTGTCACTTTTGGAATTTAATTGCTGGGGACCTTCAGCCTGTTTTCTTATCTGTAACTTGGGAGTAATAATAGTACCTGTCTTATAGGGTGGTTGTGAGGATTAAATAAAATTAAACATACATAACATCCGTAACACAGTGCCTGGTACCTAGTAAGAGCTCAGTAAATGAAACTTAGTTACTTACCTGTCCCTTAAGAGGGGATAGCTCAGGGAGTGTGGCGATTTGATGTGTCACTGAGGTGTGCTTTAAGGAAATCGGGCCACTCCCACTGACCTCAGGGCTTCAAACTCCAACGTTTTTTGTTTTCCTGCCATTCTGGTTGGGGGGAAGGGCCCATTCTCCCTCATGGACTCCCATGCTTGGACTTGCAGAGGGCCGTGGGGTGAAGGTGGCCCGGGCCCTGGTAGGCACCTTCATGTCAGCACTGGAGATGCCTGGCGTTTCTCTCACACTCCTGCTGGTGGATGAGCCTCTCCTGAAACTGATAGGTAAGACTTGGAACCATGGGTCATCCTAGCCAGGGCTCCTTGTTGCTGGAGGGAGCCATCCACAGGCTCTGTTGTAGAGACCCCAACTGGTCTGACCATGCCAGCCAAGCTCTCAACCCCAAGAAGAGAGCCTTTCTGGCTTCCACAGACTTCTGTAGCTCCCACTTGACTGGAAAGGTAGTATTAGGATTTTCCTTACATCTGCCCAACCTTCCCCAGGAACCCTCCCTGCACTTCCTCATATGCAGTCAGTATTCAGGTTGTACTTGTTGAGGTGCACCCCGTTCCCCCAGGGAACCCAGGCCCCCTGGATCCTCGGCTGGTCATCTGGGACTGAGAGAACATCTGGTCGTTCCTAGATGCTGAAACCACTGCAGCAGCCTGGCCTAATGTGGCCAAGGTCTCCGTGACTGGGCGGAAGCGGAGTCGGGCAGCCCCCACCGAGCCCCGGGAGGCCCCTGATCCCACTGAGGCAGGAGGTACCCAGCCCTGCTGTTGGGGGAGGAGCAGGCATCTTAGGTAGCCAAGCTTTGGCTTGAGCCTTAAAGGGTTCAACAGTGTGCCATGGGTGGGCAGGGACCTTGGCACCCCGGTCTCCCATTCTAATCTAGTTTGACTGTGAGAAGAGTCAGGTGGGCCTCTGCCCACTGTGCTCCCTTTCTAGGTATAGCCTCAAAACAGATGGCACTTGTGTTGGAACGGGTGTGTACCACCCTCTTGAGCCTGGAGGAGTACCTGAATGCACTGGACCGAGCTGCTGGTGATGGAGACTGTGGCACTACCCACAGTCGTGCTGCCAGAGGTTGGTGCCTGGGCCTTCTTGGGTTCTGAGAGGGGCTGGTAGAGCATGCTGGTTCTTAGATTTGGGCATTTCATGAAACAGAACAATTTCCACAACATTCAGGTGGCTGCCTTGGAGTCACCACCTCTTCTTTTGCCAAGTGAGGTCATTTGCAAAACCCCAGCATCCTTTTCGCCTGCTTCCCTGAAGGACACTTCTTACACTTCAAATGGAACAGGAGATCTCAGAAAAAAATGGAGTCCTCAACAATTGACAATCACTTACAATTCAAGCCAGTCTTATTTTCTGTTTGCCCGCACCTGTGAGAAGCTCTTAATTGTCCAGCACCATTCATTCAAGAAAACTGTATTTACTGCCTACTATAACCCAGGCACTGCTCTTGTCTCTGTGGTTACAAGACTGAACAAAGCAGGCTAAAGTCACCACACTCAGTAAATACAGTCAGTTGGTAAAACATGTAGGATGTTTGTGCAAAGGGCTAGGGAAACAAAATGAGGCAGGGAGCTCCTCTGAAGTCCTCACTGTCACTCTGCCTGCAGCTATCCAGGAGTGGCTGAAGGAGGGACCACCCCCTGCCAGCCCTGCCCAGCTCCTCTACAAGTTGTCTGTGCTACTGCTGGAGAAAATGGGAGGCTCATCTGGGGCGGTGAGTGCCAGCAGCTTCTGGGGTAGAAGGGCTGGCAGGAAAGGATGCTGGATGGGCTGGGACCCAGGCCAGTTCTGCATGCCCAGCACTCTTTCCCCCACTCCCCAGCTCTATGGCCTGTTCTTGACTGCGGCTGCCCAGCCCCTCAAGTCCAAGACTGACCTCCCAGCCTGGTCTGCTGCCATGGATGCCGGCCTGGAGGCCATGCAGAAGTGAGCCAGAGCCCTAAGCCTTAGATCAGGGGTGTGTTGGGGTTGATGGCTGATGGATGCCACTTGCTCTCGGCCAGGCCCTGTCCCCACACACAGAGTGATTCCCTACAGTGAGTCTTGTTCATTCTTTCTCTGCCAGGTATGGAAAGGCTGCACCAGGGGACAGGACTATGGTATGTACTTAGGCTATGGCCTTTTCTTCCTTCTTTTGAGCCTACAAGCCCTAAAGCTCACCCTCAGTGGCAGAGCCTGTCCTCAGCCCCTCTCTCCCTCACCTTGCCCAGCTGGATTCTCTGTGGGCAGCAGGACAGGAGCTTCAAGCCTGGAAGAGCCCAGGGGCTGATCTCATCTCGGTTCTGATCAATGCAGTCAAGGTAAGTGAGGCTGGCCTGGCCACTAAGGGAGACAGCTTAGAGCCATCAGGTTCCCATCTCCATGTGACTGAATAGGTTAAGACCTTCCCATGCCTCCATTTCTTCCTCTATAAAATAAAGATGAGCTGCTGCATGCCAGTGGCTCACACCTGTAATCGTAGCTACTCGGGAGGCAGAGATCAGGAGGATCACAGTTCGAAGCCAGCCCAAGTAAATAGTTTGTGCGACCCACTCCCCATCTCAAAAACAACTCATCATGAAAAAGGGCAGTGGAGTGGCACAAAGTGTAGGTCTTGAGTTCAAACCCCAGTACCAAAAAAAAAAAAAAAAAAAAAAAATGAGTACCTGCCTCAGCAGATGGTCATGTAGCTAAGGAGACACACTGAGCCCAGCACAGTGCCTGGGACATAACAGGGTCTCAGTAAATGGTGGCCCCATTCCCTGCTAGAAACAGGTGAGAGGTGACCTTTCCACTCAGTGATGGTACCAGAAGTGTGGGACAAATAGGTCTAGGGTCAGACAGCAGGCATGCATGAAGGAGGTAGGCTGGTGCCCTGTCCTTGAGCCCATGTCCATACTCCCTCAGAGTGCCAAAGCTGCAGCTGAGGCCACCAAAAACATGGAAGCTGGAGCTGGAAGAGCCAGTTACATCAGCTCTGCACAGCTGGATCAGCCAGACCCTGGAGCAGTGGCCGCTGCCTCCATCCTCAGTGCCATCCTAGAGGCCTTGCAGAGCCAGGATATGTGACTGCCACCCTCAACCTCGGCCCTATCTTGCTGCTGTGCAGAGATGCCCATTGTCACTTCCTTCTATCTTCCAACGGTTACCTTCCCCCTCCCTCTACCCTGGGCCTGTGCTCTGAGTCCAGCAGGAAATCCTCCACCAAAGCTCAGAACTGCTCTATGCAGACAGCTCCAGGCTGGTGTGAGCCATGTACCCCCTCTAGTACTGTCTTCTTTTTCATCAGAGAGGGTGGAGTCCTGGGTCATCAGTCATAAGCCAGCACTGGGCATCAGTCATAAGACATTTCCTGGAAGACTCCATCCCTCTCCTTCTGAAAGGCCTTCTGCACGTGAACCCAAATCAGTGTGGAAAGAATGCTAATAAAACACATTGAAACTATAAAGCTGCTGCCTCTGTGAGGGACCTTTGCCCTGGCTTCAGTGATCACCACCTGTCTCCTTCCAGGCAGCACCCCACCACCTGTGCCCCAGAGGCAGGCTCTGCTCAGCCAGGCTGGTTCCACTGGGCCCCATTCCTGTTCTTCCATCACACACACACCACACTGGATACATGTGAGAATGGTAGAAAGGCTTTTCTCAGCCCCAGATTAACAATGCAGTGATTCTTTGGGAACAGGACAGGCATTTGGGACACAAGAAGGAAAATAAATCATGTTTTAAGATTCAGCTATAGATCAGAAACTGCAGCCAGCCCCCTGATCTCTTTCTATAGCAATCACTGATGACACCTGTGTTAGGAGGGGCAGCTAACAGTACCTGATTGAGATAACACACACACACACACAACACCTGGCACATCTGCAGGATAGAGATGGCTCAAGACTCTGCCCATGGCTCACATCCACCTAAAGTCTGATTCTGCTTTAAACCAGTTACGTGAACTCAGGCCCATATTTAGCCTCTTGGGATCTGTAAGTTAGAATGGTATCCATCTTACAGGGATGCAAAAGGGTTCAGACCTGCTGAAGGTGCAGGCCCTGAAGTCTGAGTGCTAACTCACTAGGAGTTAGTGCTATTACTACTGTCAGGCACCTCGCCACCTAGGGCATCTATCTGTTCCACCACCACGTGGCATCTGCAGCTGGTCACACTAGGAAAGTGGCTTTCTATCACTTCCTTTCCCCAAACTTGGCTGCGGGCTCACTTGGCCTCTGGGCTTTCCTACCTAAGGTCCCCTGTCCATCAACTACACCACAGGTCCTTGATCACAAAGATGGTCATCAGTGTGCACTGGGATATGTACCCAGCAGCCAGGAAGGAGGCTAGCTTCACACAGTGGCCCTTGCCTAGCTGGGTAACCTCAGGCCAGTCACTTGTTTTTTTTTTTAGTATTGTCCAGATTATGAAACAGAAACATGTCAGCAGAGAAGGCTTGTGATGTTTTGTGTCCCCTTAAAGTTCATGTGCTGAAATCCGCCCACTGTGTGATTGTATTAGGGGGCAGGCCCCTATTAGGGGGTGATTGGTTCATGAAGGGCCCTCAACAAGGGAACTAGTGGCCTCTTCTGTGAGGGTGACTTGCAGTCTGCACCACATGAGGCTACAGTGAGAAGATGATCTGCAGACTGGCCTTCATCAGGCACCACATCTGCTGGTGCCCTGATCTTGGACTTCTAGCCCCCAGAACTGTACTATGAGAAGTTAATGTTTGTTATTTAAGCCACCCAATCCATTCTGTTTGCCATAACCACCCAAACAGACTAAGACAGCTCTCAGTCTTAAAATATATTTAATGAGGGCCAAGTTTCATTAACAAGTAAAATTGCAACTTGCTGTTAATAAGGGGAACTGGACATGACCAAGGTGCCCAGCAGTCATCCCAACTGCATGAAGGCTTTATCCAACCAGAAAGTCCAGTCCTAGTCCTGCTAATACCTGGCAGTTGGGGCTGGCATGGACAGTCAGCCTGGCTGCTACCTGCCACGGAGTGCCCAGTTCTAAACCCTAGGGCACATCCACCTGTCTCAAGCACAGCAGTCTGGAGCCTGGGACCTGGCAAGGCTTATTTGGAGAAAGCAACAGGACCCACGTGCCAGCACTGAGGAGAGGAACAAGATTCCTCCCTCCTCATTCACTTTCTTCATGGGAGAAAAGCAAAGCTGGTGCTCTGGTACACCCCAGGAGGCAGGGCTCAACCAGATAAGCAGGCAATGTAGGGCAGGGGAAGCAGGCCAGTTCTCAATAAGGAATACCTCTGAAGGTGGCAGCAGCTCCCAGGGCTGTGCTGGGCACGATACTTCACAACACTGTCTTCAGTTTCATGGTGGGCTGGAGTGGGAAAGTAGGTTGGGCTGGCCCAGAGGTGGGCAGGAAGGAAGGGTCAGCAAGGGGAAAGAAAGGAAAGCCATAGAAACTTCTGCTACTCATCATTCTTGAAACTTTAGGGACAGGTTGTTCTTGGAAGAGCAGGTTACCAGGGCTCGTAGGGCTGCCTGATAGTGACAGGCATGTAAGTCACAGGAAAAGGGCAAGATTCAGGCCACAGCTGAAGCAGCAGCTAGAAGAGGTAGAGCCACAGGTCATAACTCACAACACTGTCCAGAGATCAAAAACAGGACAGCTCAGAGCAGTCAGCCCTCAGCTTCTCTGCAGAGGCAGCTCCTGCCACTGCAATCCATTCTGCAGTACAGAGCAGAGGAAGCCTGCTTGCTGCGGGTGACCAGACTGCAATGCAGGCCTCCAAGGCAAAAGCTGCTTCGTCATGTTTTATATCAGGGACTGCATTTGAGTCCCAGCTTTTCTGAGCTGTCCAGATTTTCTACACATCCCAGCGGTTTTAGGGGAGATTGGCCCAACTTTTGCAGATGGAGCAAACACAGTATGAGTGACTAGGGCAAGGAGTATCTTGTGAAAATGGAGGACCTGGTAACACCAAGAAGCCACAGCCACCAGGAAAAGCAGATGCATGGAAAGCGGCTGGAGAGACAGGCCTGCCACTGAGGCAAGAAGTTGGGGCCAGGAGCACTGGGTGGAGCAGAGCTTCTGAAGGAGACAGATCACACCACTGACTGTTCCCACAACCCCTTTTCACTTCACTCCTCATCGTGCAACAGGGGCTGGAAAGAAGGCAGACACACAGGGGTTAATGACAAGATGTCAAAATGACCCCTTACTTGCAAAAGCTGCACCAGGCCTGAGCTGTTCAGGTAGACCTCCCCAACCTGCAAGTGGATCCCCAACCAAGCCACCAGATCTTCCAGGGAAGCCCCAAAGTCCTTGAGCCTGGTACACACACCCCATCTCACTTCATCTGTCAAGTGTCTGAGTGGCCAAGAACAGGCAAGACCTACTCCACACACTTGACTTGTCACCAAGCACCATCCCACTAGCCTAGCCCCAAAACTAGCAAAGAAGTTACCACACCACACTGGAGTCCTTCCTTTTGAAAGGTAAGGTCATGTGTCATCTCATGAGACCACAGGAATTTGGGGACAAGGATTCTGGGAGCCCCTAAGCCTGGATAGCTACATTTGCTCTACTGTTACGTGTTGCTCTGATACAGTGCCTGCCAGTACCCGAACGCCACCTTTAAGCTGCTTAGCTTCCCACCAGGCGACTGTGTCAGTCTTCTTGACAAGACCCAAGTCTTTCCAGGGTGGTCCTTCTCTAGGCCTGGCCCTATCCCATACTGAAATGGATGACAAGCAATCGTACCTGCCTGTCAGTCAGGATCCCCGGCTCTGGTCGTTTCCATGATGAAGCCAGAAGAACATATAGAACCAGAAGCCCAAAGACCACCACCAGCAGGCCGGTGCTGTTGGCAAAGACAGCCTCGCTGGGCAGGCTGGAGTATGGCTTGGTCACATTTTTTCTGAAGAAGACAAAACAATGTGGGATTTTCCACTATTTTTGACCAGTGGAAGACTCAATGCCACCAAGAGAGGGAGAGAAAACCATCCCGGGACCACCCATAATCTGGAATTATAGCATACCTTCTGGGCAGTACTGGAGTTTGAACTCAGGGTCTCACACTTGCTAGACAGACGCTCTATCACTTGAACCACTCTGCCTGCCTTTTTTTGTGTTGGGTATTTTCGAGATAGGGTCTCATGAACTATTTGCCTGGGATGGCCTTGAACCGTGATCCTCCTGATCTCTGCCTTCTAAGTAGCTAGGATTATAGGCATGAGCCACCAGTACCTAGCTCTGTATGTTGCTTTTTACCTATGTGGAAACTGAAGTTCAAAGTGGTGAAATTAACTTGTCCAAAGTTATATAACTAGTATATGGCATAGCCAAAATCTAAATCCAGCGCTTATCTCAAATCTTATTTGCTTTTCACTCCACCTGACAGTCTCAAAACAATGGATGGTAGTGGTAAGACATGTAGGCTCTGCAGTCAAGATTGCATAACTTGCTGGGTGTTGGTGGCTCACACCTGTAATCCTAGCCACTCAGGATTACAGAGGCAGAGATCAGGAGGATCAGGGTTCAAAACCAGCCCAGACAAACAGTTTGTGAGACCCTATCTAGAAAAAAATCCATCACAAAAAAAAGGGCTGGTGGAGTGGCTCAAGGTATATGCCCTGAGTTCAAACCCCAGTACCACAAAACAAAGATTACCTAACTTGTCTCCCAGCTTGTCCAATTACTGGCTGTGTACCCTTACATAGGTTACTTAACCTCTCTGTGCCTTGGTTCTCTCCTTTGTAAGTGGCAATGACAAAAGCACCAATGTTATAGGGCAGTTGAGAGAATTAACTAAGGTATTTAGAAGCATTTCTGACATAGAGTAGGTGCTAAATCAACCTGATGCCTAATAAATATTTGCTGACTAATTCACCAATCTCAACCTAAAGGAAGAACAATTCTGTCACCCTTCAGATCAGGAATGGGGCCAGGCCCAAAGGCCACCTCCCCTGGCTGAGTGCTGCAATCACAGGGTGCATCTTCTGAAGACTCACTGCAGAACACCCCTGTCTTGGAGTTGGGGACCCATCACACTCACAAACTGAAGAAGAGTTTCTCATTAATGCCGGAAATGACAGACGCAATGGACAGAGAGAGGATGGAGGCTCCAAAGAAGATGTGAATGGGTTTCAGGAGGCTGCGTAGCCACAGTGATGCCCAGGGCAGAAGGAATACCGCAAAGCCCAGGAACCACTGTGGATGCAAGGGAGGAAGCCGCTGTCAGTACTGTGTGTGACCAAATGTGCACCAGGTCATCCACACCCCGCCCCCGCCCCATGCTGCCTACCCACCTCTATTACTTGGCCCTTCTTTCCCAACTCTCCCAACCTCCCACCAGGCATCACCCACCACTGCACCTCACTGTGGTTTGTCCGTTTCTGTTACGCAAGCAACGAGAACAGTATGTAAAAGGCTAGTACAATCCCACTCTCCCAGCAAACCCAACTGTCCTTATTTTTCTCTGCTTCCTACCAGTCCTTGCTCATGAACTCTCTAGCATAGGACTGGTATCAGAACACAGAAAGCACTTCTAGAACTGCTTCTGGTTGAGAGGCAGGAGTGGGGAGAGCAGAAAAGAGGTGGTGCAATAGCCAAGTTATGGAAACAGCCAAGATGCCCCACCACTGACGATTGTATTAAGAAAATGTGGTATCTATACACAATGGAATTTTATGCAGCCATGAAGAAGAACGAAATGTTATCATTCGCTGATAAATGGATGGAATTGGAGAACATCATTCTGAGTGAGGTTAGCCTGGCCCAAAAGACCAAAAATCTTATGTTCTCCTTCATATGCAGACATTAGATCAAGGGCAAACACAACAAGGGGATTGGACTTTGATCACAAGATAAAAGCGAGAGCATACAAGGAAGGGGTGAGGATAGGTAAGACACCTAAAAAACTAGATAGCATTTGTTGCCCTCAATGCAGAGAAACTAAAGCAGATACCTTAAAAGCAACTGAGGCCAATAGGAGAAGGGGACCAGGAACTAGAGAAAAGGTGAGATCAAAAAGAATTAACCTAGAAGGTAACACACACACATAGGAAATTAATGTGAGTCAACTCCCTGTATAGTTATCCTTATCTCAACTAGCAAAAACACTTGTTCCTTCCTATTATTGCTTATACTCTCTCTTCAACAAAATTAGATATAAGGGCAAAATAGTTTCTGCTGGGTATTGAGGGGGTGGGGGGAAGAGGGAAGGGGGCGGAGTGGGTGGTAAGGGAGGGGGTGGGGGCAGGGGGGAGAAATGGCCCAAGCATTGTATGCACATATGAATAATAAAAGAAAAGAGGTGGTGAATCGGAGTTAGCACGGCACTTGCTATAACAAAGTTAGCTCACAGGGCTGTGGAATGATGAGTATAAGGAACAGGATATGTGCAGAAGCCCCAACCTCCCAAGGCTGTTTAAATGCTACATTACAGGATGTGTGTGCAAGGCTCTCCTAGGCAGTGGGCAGAGGGAGTACTTGGAGCTGAAGCAAGTGAAGCCCCAATTAGAACCCATGTGTAGACATGGCAGCAGGAACCCAGAGGAGGCACCCACCTGACAGGCAAAGAGGACTACGGTGGTGATGCCCAGCCAGCTGTGCAGGGAGTAGAGGTGGGCGATTTTTGAATGGCTGTGATACTGAAAGACAGCAACCAACCCTAGCACAGTGAGGATGAAGGCCATCAGGTGCAGGGCTGCATGGAGGAGTTTCCAGGGCAACTTGGGCCCCACCCATGACACAGGCAGGCGGTACACCAGCGACCCTGCAGGAGAGAGGCGTCCCAAGACTCAACCACAGCCCCTAGTGCTCCCCAACACATCAAGGCAACTGCCCTGATGTGACCCTGCACAGCCTCCCAATAAGGGAAGAAGGACCTGCTAGGACACTGTTGTCCACTCCTCAGTGTCTTCCACCCTCCCACTACTTGCGGGGTAGCAGTCAGCCATGAAGGGAGGCAAGACGGCCAGCTAACAAGAAAGAAGCAGTGTTCTGAATTCTGCCCTTGCAATAAATGCAGCTTGAATGCAGCTGTACAGGCTAAAAAGTGCTATCTCCTTCACTGTTTACCAAACTGAATTCTCATAACCAAGGTGAGCTGTCAAGAACTCAGGCGAGAAGGCCTGGGAATACAGTTCAGTGGTACAGTGCTTGCCTATCATGTGCAAGGGCCTGGGTTTCACCCCCAGAACTGGGGGGAAAAAAACACCTCAGGCATGGAGGTCAGTCAACATAGGTCCAAATTCAGGCTTGGAAACTTAGCTGTTTGGCCTCTTCTAAGTCTCAGTTTCCTCATCTGTAAAATGGAAAAATAACAACAGAACCCATCCGACAAGCTTATTCTAAGAACAAAAGGGAACCAGGCACCAGTGGCACACGCCTCTAATCCTAGCAACTCAGGAGGCAGAGACCAGAGGATCAAGGTTTGAGGCCAGCCTGGGTAAATAGTTCGTGAGACCCTACTGCGAAAGTACCCAACACAAAAAAAGGCTGGTGGAGTGACTGAAGTAGTAGGGCATCTGCCTAGCAAGTATGAAGCTCTGAATTCAAATCCCAGTACCACCACCACCACCACCCTCCAAAAAAAATAAGAACAAAGCTGACTGTGGTGGTACATGCTTGTAATGCTATCACTAAGGTGCTGAGGCAAGATGATCTTTGAGTTTGAGGCCAACCTGGGCTAGCTACGTAGCAAGACATGGAGTCAAAAAAAAAATGGGATGATGTGTATGAAGTGCACATAGTGAGCTATTATCAGTATTCTCATTTTAGCAGTGGGGAAAAGGAAGCCCACTTCCCATTTTACAGGGCACAGGTATTAATGCATGGGGCAAAAATGGATTCTAGAAGAGCAAGCAAGTCCCTCAGTTGGGGGCCTAACTATGCCACAAGAGGCTTCAATATCTTGTTTCATATAGCAGGGGTCAGCAAACTTCAGCTCCCAGGACAAATACAACCCACCGCCTCTTTTTTCAAATAAAGTTGGATTTTGGTGGTACTGAGGTTTGAACTCAGAGCCTCATGCTTGCTGGCAGGCACTCTACCACTTGAGTCATGGTCCAAGACCTGCATACAGTTCTACTAACATAGTCACACTCACGTGTTGATGTATTTTCTATGGCTGTTCTCACACACAATGGCAGAGCTCAGTAGTTGCAACATGGATTTTATGGCTTCCAAAGCCGGGGATATATATGGTCTGTGCCTTTACAGAAAGTTTGCTGACCCTGCCTCACAGTACCTGTGTAGCTGTTCTCCAAGATGTCTCTAACTCTTTCTACTTTGTTCCCTAAATGACAGCTGGACCTAGGAACAGCCAAACTCCCCCTACCCTGGTAGTCCCAAACCCAACACTGACAAAGGCCAGCCTTGGAGAGGTAAAGTGCTGCCCACCCAGGCCCATGCCATATCACATCCCCCATCCAGCCTCTTACTCACCAGCTCCATAGAGCACCACCAGGCCAGAAACCATGAGCACTGGGTGCCAGTTGAACATGTGTAAGCTGCCATCCCAGGCAAAGCCACCTCGCCAATACTGCATCCAGTAAGTAATGAAGAGGACACACATTGAGCCCAGGGACCCCAGCACCAGACAGGACAGGTAAAACCATCCTGAAGCCATTCTGATCAAGAAATCCTACAAGAAAAAGTCACATGTCCCTGATGGCTGGGGTGCACTCCACACTGGTTAAAGAAAGTAACATGACCTCCCTCTCACCCATAGCATGGGTTATTTTGTTTCTGTTCCCCTACCATCAGCCTGGGCACCACCCTCATGAGGCCACAATAGCACAGTAGGTTTTAAATGAGTAAGGCCCCACCCCAGCACCTGGCAGTACACAGAGCAACAAGTGCAGGGCTATGACTGGATGACAAGGCCTTGGGCCTGAAGCTCTGGGATTAGTATTCCTGCCCAGAACCAGAAGAATTATCCCCACCTCTGAGCCAGGAAAGAAGAGACAGGAACCAAAATCCAGACTAGATCACAAATGCCCAGGTCCCTGGGTTCCAACATAAGAAGGCCAAAAAACTATCTGAGTAACCCTTATACGAAAAGCAGAAGTGTTTCAGACTTCAGAGATTTTTGGATGTTGGAACTGTACACTGCATCATTTGGTGATCAAAAAGTTTCAAATTTCAATCCTAGTTACTTAGGAGGCTAAGACTGGGAGGACTGCGATTCGAAATATGATTCCCCATCTCCAAAATAGCCAAAGCAAAACAGACTGGAGGGGTGGCTCAAACAGTAGAGCTCCTGCTCTGCAAGGATGAATCCCTGAGTTCAAAACCCAATCCCAGCCAGGCACCAGTGGCTCAAGCCTATAATCCTAGCTATTCAGGAGGCAGAGATCAGGAGGATCGAGGTTCAAAGCCAGCCTGGGCAAATAGTTCACAAGACCCTATCTTGAAAAAACCCATCACAAAAAGGGCTGGTGGAAGCTACACATCAGACAAAAGACTGATAATCAGAATATATAGGAAACTTAAAAAACTAAATTCTCCCAAAATTAATGAACCAATAAAGAAATGGGCAAGTGAACTAAACAGAACTTTCTCAAAAGAAGAAAATCAAATGGCCAAAAAACACATGAAAAAATGCCCACCATCTCTAGCAATAAAGGAAATGCAAATTAAAACCACACTAAGATTCCAACTCACCCCTGTTAGAATAGCCATCATCGGCAACACCACCAACAACAGGTGTTGGCGAGGATGTGGGGGAAAAAGGAACCCTCTTACACTGCTGGTGGGAACGTAAACTAGTACAACCATTCTGGAAAAAAATTTGGAGGCTACTTAAAAAGCTAAACATTGATCTACCATTTGATCCAGCAATACCGCTTTTGGGGATATACCCAAAAGACTGTGACACAGATTACTCCAATGGCACCTGCACACCCATGTTTATTGCAGCACTATTCACAATAGCCAAGTTATGGAAACAGCCAAGATGCCCCACCACTGACGCATGTATTAAGAAAATGTGGTATTTATACACAATGGAATTTTATGCAGCCATGAAGAAGAATGAAATGTGGATCATTCGCTAGTAAATGGATGGAATTGGAGAACATCATTCTGAGTGAGGTTAGCCTGGCCCAAAATACCAAAAATCGTATGTTCTCCCTCATATGCGGACATTAGATCAAGGGCAAACACAACAAGGGAATTGGACTTTGAGCACATGATAAAAGCGAGAGCACACAATGGAGGTATGAGGATAGGTAAGACACCTAAAAAACTAGATAGCATTTGTTGCCCTCAATGCAGAGAAACTAAAGTAGATACTTTAAAGCAACTGAGGCCAATAGGAGAAGAGGACCAGGAACTAGAGAAAAGGTTAGTTCAAGAAGAATTAACTTAGCAGGTAACACACATGCACAGGAAATGAATGCGAGTCAATTCCCTGTATAGCTATCCTTATCTCAACTAGCAAAAGTCCTTGGTCCTTCCTATTATTGCTTATACTCTCTCTTCAACAAAATTAGAGATGAGGGCAAAATAGTTTCTGCCAGGTAGCGAGGGAGTGGGGGGGAGAGGGAGGGGGTAGGGGAAAGGGGGAGAAATGACCCCAAACATTGTAACATTGTATGCACATATGAATAAAATAAAAATTTAAAAAAAAAAAAGGACTGGTGGAGTGGCTCAAGGTGTAGGCCCTGAGTTCCAACCACAGTATCACAAAAAAAAAAAAAAAAACTTTCACATTTCAGAACATTTTGGATGTGGTTAGGGATGCTCAATCTGTATTATTAGGGTATCTGGGAAAAAGTCCCATTTCCACAGAAAAGTCTTTCTCCCAGAGGATGGACTGGCCATTGTGGAGGTCCCTGACACCCCCCACACCACCCCTTGAATTGAGTGATACCCCTCAGCTGTCTCTAGACCTAAGACTTCTGCTTTCTCTTCTTTGAGGACAGTCCAGAGGAGAAAAAGAGGAAGCAAGAACTCTTGGTCTAAAAAGTAAGAGGTTTATTTTGAGATTTCTACATGTGTACTTATTAAACTTAGAAACCGATTTTGATTTCAGGCCTGGTAAATGATTATGCCCCCTGAGGAGCTGCTCTTAAAAGCCAGGTAAGGGCCAAGTGTCTGTAACTCTAGCTACTCAGGAGGCAGAGATCAGGAGGATCGAGGAGGATCGAGGGTCGAAGCCAGCCCAGGCAAATAGTTTGGGAGACCCTATCCCAAAAAAAACCCATCACAAAAAAGGCTGGTGGAGTGGCTCAAGGTGTAGGCCCTGAGTTCAAGCCCCAGTACTGCAAAAAATAAAAAAATTTTTAAAAGGCCAGGCAAGGGGCTGGGAGTAGCTCAGTAAAAAAAGACTTGCCTCCCATGTGCAAGGTCATAGGTTAGATCCCCTGTCCCTCCCCCACCCCCAAAAAAAAGTCATGCAGTGGGCAAAGGCATAGGACCCATTCTGCCTCTAGCAATTGTGTGGGCAGCACAGGCCCAAACCTCAAGGCAGTCAAGGTTCAAGGCCAGCCCAGGCAAGAAGCTAGCAAGACTCTATCACAACAAATGAGCTGGTCATGTTAGCATCTTCCTGTAATCCCAGCTATGTGATAGCTGTAAGATATCCAAAATAGTTTGTGAGAATCCATCTCCAAAATAACCACAACAAAATGGGCTGGAGGTATGACTCTAGCAGTCAGAGCACCTGTTTTACATGCATGAAGTCCTGAGTTCAAACTCCAGTCACACCAAAAAAATAATAATAATAAAATAAAGAAAAGCCCAGTACCACTAAAATAAAGATGAATAAAAATATGCAATAACTCTCAAGGAGAGACAACACTTGATTCCTTACCTTTAGACCCAGAAGGCTCACAGAACAGTGACCTAGGCTCCAATTCTCACAAACTGGGCACCTTGAACAGAACACTTATCTGCAGGACTTGTTTTCATCTGAAAGACATAGCAGTAAGAAAGAACTATTCTTTAAACATCAGCTACGAGCACCAAATTTCATTTACTCCTATAACCTGATAACCCTGTGAGAAGGATCTCTATCTTATGCATGAGAAAACTAAGGCTCTGAATGATTAAGTAGCTGACATTAGTACCCAATAAGTAGACAGGAGTTTCAAACCCTTGTCTGTTTGGCTTCAACACCTGTAGCCCTCACTGTTTCCTTGACCACAGGTTATTTTAAGTGAGAAAATGTAAGGACAATGTGAGAATCAAGTATTATAACTCTTCTTATTGAAGCTACCTGGGTTTAGTGGTGCACACCTACAGTTCTCACTACGTGGAAGGCCAAGGAAGGAGAATCAGTTGATTCCGGGAGTTCAAGGTCAGCCTGGGCAGCATAACAAGACCTTCTCTCAAAAAAAAAAAAAACAAAGAAAAGGCCAGGTGCCAGAGGCTCATGCCAGTAGTTGTAACAACTTAAGAGGCTGAGATCAGAGCAATTGAGGTTTGAGGCCAGGCCAATATTTCAATGAGACCCCATCTCCAAAGTAATCAGAGCAAAATGGACTAGAGTTGTGGTTCAGTGGTAGAATGCCTGCTTTGCAAGTGTGAAGCACTGAGTTCAAACCTCAGTCTCACCAAAAAAGAAAAGAAAAACCTGATGCTCACGGTTCCCATGCCTGCCCAGGCCTCTCAGTAGCCCCAGTTACATGCTGTGCCTTGCCAGCTCTCCCCATGCCAGGCGTCCATCTAACAAAGAGGCATTGGGCTTTCACTACCTGATCCAAGTTAGTAGTAAGCTCTAAAAAAGGAAGGTCTGAGGGCTGGGTTAGAGAAACAAGCTTCCCTGAGGAAGGCTGGCAGGAGGAAACCATGCCACCACTTCATGAGTCAGCTACTGACCTCAAAGATTTGTTACTCAGCCTCATAGCCACCTCCTCAATTCCTGCAAGGGCAGAGAACGTTTCAAATCACCAGGTGTTTGGCTAACACACCCTCCACTCCTCCAGTGAAATGTTAAGCCAGTCTTCAAGGGCTTTTGGTCAGCAGGCTCCATCCATCTGACAATATCTACTATATTTCCACAATTTCTTTTTCCTTTTTACAAAGAAAATACATTCCAAAAGGGACTGTGTCCACACCCCTAGTAGTAGTCCTGAATTACTGTTCTGACAGGCTTAGGACAAATGGGAACACTTTTATGACAAAGGGCAGGAAAGTTATACTGCTCTGCCCACAGTACACAGACAAGTCCTCCTCTTCCTGAAATAGAAAGCAAAGGCAGGGGGAAAGGAAGAATACAGAGAAAATTACATGCAAGTGCTAAAACTATGCTCTCATTTGTTCTAAGACAAAAGTTGGGCTAGGATGTCAGGATGTGTTCATATCCTGACTCCTGTTCTGCCTTCACTCTTCAGAGTGCCATTCCAAAACAGGTGTCAGCAAACTCTACTGTAAGAACCAGATAGTTATAGGCTCTACAGGTCATAAGGTCTCTGTCCAAGTACGTCATCAACTCTGCTGATGTAGTGTCAGTAGCCAGGGACAATATCTTAACAAATGACTGTGTTCCAATAACAATTAAGGAACACTGAAATCTGAGTTTCACATGCCACAAAATAGTATACTTTTTCCCCTCAATAATTTAAACATGTAAAAACCATTCCAGTGGATCAGTTATGGCCTATGGGGTTTAGTTGGTCAATCCTGATCTAAGGCGTCTATTCCCTAACCTAGCATTTTCTTCAATTCCTTGGCAAAAAGTACTCTCCTAGGCTGAGCTAAACTAGGATCAGGCTCCCCAAGGGTAAGAAATGTGTATCTCCAATCAGCCATGAGTCTTAAAAACTTTCACAAGTCCCTTTTACAACTGAGAACTACAAACAGATAAAGGGATAGGAAGGCAATTTGTTGCTCCCCTTTCACATGACTGGGGGGACTTTTAGAATCCTGAGAATCAGATTTAGGGTTCAAGTCCTAAACTCTTAACTTACAGATCAAAACCACTGTTAACAATGGGGCCCAAAGGAGAGCGACTTGGCCCAGAGGGTGGAAGAGCAGGTACAGGCATTCAGGTTCACTCCTCCTCCTCAGTTGTCAGGGTTCTTATTCCAAAGATAGCTTCAGTAACGGCAGGACTTAGGATGAGTGGCCGAATTTTCCAGCCAGGAGGTAAGTAAACAAAAAAGTCCTCTTTAAACGGCTGGCATAGTGGTTCAAGTGGTGGAGCGCCTGCCTAGCGTGAGGCCCTGAGTTCAAACCCCAATACCTCCGCCCCATCCCATCCCCCCTAGCCCCCCCCCCAAAAAGTCCTCAGCACGAGTGAGCGTGATCACAGACCTGTCCTACGGCATGTGTCAGGCCTAACCAATCCCTGACCTCTCAGCGGGGCGCTCGGTCCTACCTATTCTTGAGTGGAAAAAGGGAGAGGAGTCCCGCCTGCTCGTCCGTGTCTTTACAACCACCACCTGTGGAAAGAAAGATGCGGCGAACAGTGTCTGTTTCCTACAAGCGAAAACTGAGGCTGTGTGACAGGTCGCGATAGCGCCAAGCGAGTTAGCGGAGCCAGCACCGAACCCAAGTCCCTGGCCTCCCAGCGCGGGCTCTTTCTCACCCCTAACCACAGTGGGACACAACGGGGCAGAGTTTTCCGAGACGCGCCTCTGCCACCCAGCGCAGGAGCTGCCACTAACCAGGTTCCTAGAGGATGGAGAACAAATCTGCCCGCTAAGCCTGCAGTCGGCTGGCACTGCCGCGCAGGGCGCCGCCTCGGTTCTTGTAGGCTTGGAGCACTTTCCGGTCGCGCGCAATGCCGCCTGGGAAATGGAGTCCAGGGTCCGGAACTTGCCCGCTGCCTGCGCGCCCATGTCCGGCTCCCGACCTAAGAACGTTGGCACGCATCTGCCCTGAGCCTCACCGCCCTCCCAACAAGGGAAATGTTGAGGTTAACGCAAGTCTGCTGCCAGGGGCTGACCCTCAGCAAGGTCGCATGGGCCATGGGTGGGAGGTTTTGGCCGGGACCAGCGCGAGCCCACGAACGCACAGCCTAAACATGGCGGCCAGGCTGGCCAGAGAGCGGGAAGTAGAAGCCCTGGACAAGTGCGCAACGGAGCCCGCGTCCGCCATCTACTTCCGGAATTTAAAGCGGGTATACGGAAGCCAGGACCGTGTCTCCATGACAACCGACGTTGGCGCTTTCAGGTGAGAGTGAATGATAAGCGGGTAGGGTGAAGGGAAATCAGAATTTTTGTTACTGTTGTTCTTGGTTCGGAGTTTTTGCCAAGACAGACCCATTTGTAAGTCGATAGGGAAGGGCGAGGGAAACTGCTCTAGCAAGATAGGGAAGGCGGCGGGTAACGGTGGGCAGAGTGTGAAGAGTGTGGCTTTTCCTTGGGAATCACCACCGCCCTAAACTGGAGGGATGATCGCCCACGTAGGGAGAGCGATGAACATTTCTTTATAACGGATCCTCACAGCAGCCATCCGTGGAGGCCTGCGACTGGTGTATTTGGCGCCACACCTAGTTAGAAATACTGTCTCTGCTTACTTGAACCTGGAGGGAATGAGTTGAACTATAACCCGGTGACCTTGCCTGTAGTCAGGGGATTATTCTTTCCCACCTTGTGGAGTTGTTGCGAGGATTAAAGGAAGTTAGTTATCTTGGTTAGCAAGTTTATTCTGGTGCTGCTTTGTAAAGGGTAGCTATCAATATCTAATGAATGAGAAACTCGGGCCCAGAGAAGCCACAATGATAAATCTAGTAAGGGTACTTCTCCGCCAGGTGAAATGGAACAGGGACCTAACCTCTCTGAGCCACTGTGCGAAATGGGGGATTATATGCATTAAAATGGCTACTTGTCAAGAAAGTTTTAGGATTAAGTAAGGTTGTAAATAGGAGAAGAATTTGTAAATTGTAAAACATTCTACAGATGGTACTTTAAACTCTCTAGCACTTGAAGCACCTTGAGATTTGCTTATATATTTGATTTAGCTGCAGGGTCACAGAGCAACTTGTGGGTCTTGGAATGTATGCAGACAAAGGCTCAGCCCCCCTTATTTAGTGCCAGTGTTGCAGCCATCCCCTTAACAAAGCTTTCCAGGAGAGCACTAGGTCCTCTCAGGTTTGGCTGGCTGGCTGGCTGGCTGGATCACTTCCCACTTCTGTGTGTCCATTTTCCCCACCTAATTACTTATCAGTCTACCAGTTACATAAGAGACTGGTTAGCCCAGTAGTTAAAATCTTGGGCTGGGGGGCGTGGCTCAAGCAGTAAAGTACTAGTTCAAACCCCAATATTGCCAAAAAAAAAAAAACAGATTCTCAACCCGGACCATCTAGATCAGAATCCCAGCTCTAGCCTCCTGGTGCTTACCACAGGCTGTGTTCTTACACTGACTGTATAGAAGAAGGAGGCAAAGTAAACCTACCCCATGTACACCTCAGCCCAGGCCTTGTGCCTGGTCTGTATTGTAAATGGGGTGGGAGAAAAAAAAAAATCCCAGCTCTGCCACTTAACAGCTGTGTGACCTTGGACAACTTATTCGCCTCTCTGTGCCTCAGTTTTCTTATCTGTAAGATAAAGAAAGTAAGAAGTATCTTAAGGTGGTTGTTAAGTTTATTTTATTTTATTTTCAGGTTTTTAAAATAACGTTTATTTAGTTAACATGTGCATTACAGGAAACCAACACAAAAGGAAAGAACAAAATCATCCATAGCTACAAGAAGTACAGTTGGGATGTCCTAAATCCTGTGTGTACACACAGGATCCATTTCAGGTAACTGAGATCATATGGTCTGTGTCATGCTTTTCCACACATTGTGAATACTCACCAACTCAGAATCGAAAAACTAAATGAATATTCTGATAGCCAAGATTGTTAAATTTAAATGTCAATGATTAGGACAGTCTCTGGCACATTGCAAGTGATATATAAGGGCTGCTGCTATAATTATTATTACTACTGCTACTTGACGAAGAGGTTTGTCTTCTCTGTAGCACCTCTAGATTTTTTTGGTTAGAAAGAGCTGTTCATTTAAGCCAGGCGTGGTGGGTGGTTCACATTTGTAATTCCAGCAGTCAGGAGGCTGAGGCAATGGGATTAATAATATGAGACCAGACTGGGCTATACAGCGAGATCCTGTCTCAAAAAAAGAAAAAGGTGTGCATTTAGAAGAATGCATGGAGGAAGGTTTGACAGTGATGTTCCTACAAGGAATGACGAGTTAGTTTTGTTTTGTTTTTTATTTATTTATTGGAACAGTCACTATGTAGCCTAGGTTGGGCTCAAACTTGCTATCCTCCTGCTGCAGCATCCCAGCAGCATCCTGCTGCTGGGTTTACAGGTGTACACCACTGTACCTGGCTTTAGCTGAGGTTTTTTGGTTGCTGGTTTTGTTCAGTAACATATCCCAATCACCTGGAACAGTGCCTGATACACAGTAGGTGCTCAGTAAATGTTTGTTAATACATTTCTAACCTTGCCTCTTCCCCCCACCCCCAATAGGTCCTTGCCCTAAAGCAAGGGAAACAACTCTGATCTGGAATAACTAGATGCCTCTCCCTTAGTACGTAGGAAGTGAGCCAGGAGTCATTTTCTGGGGAACTGTGGAATGTGCCCTTGGGAGCCGAAGAAAGCAGAAGGAAGATGCTGCAGACCAGCAACTACAGCCTGGTACTCACCCTGCAGTTCCTGCTGCTGTCCTATGACCTGTTTGTCAATTCCTTCTCAGAGCTGCTGCGAATGGCTCCAGTCATCCAGCTGGTACTCTTCATGTGAGTAGGGGGCGGGCCTGGAAGGCTGAACCCAAGCAGCTTGAAAGCCCCTGCAAGTGATGGTTTAGCATTTGAAAGTCTCAGTAGATGCTCTAGGAGTGTAGCTCAATGGGATAGGGTGTGCTTAGTATGCACAAGGCCCTGGGTTTGGCCCCCAGTACCACATGAAAAATAAAATAAGTAAATATGGTGAAGAGGGTGAATTCAAGTATGATATATTGTAAGAAGTTTTGTAAATGTCATAATGTACCCCTGGCACAACAATAAAAATTAAATAAGTAAATAACGTTATTAGTAAAGAAATACCAGGGTGAGTAGAATTAATACTAGTTACTTGGGAGGCTGAGATTGGGAGGGTTAAGGTTCAAGGCCATCATGGGCAAATAGTTCCAGAGATCCCATCTCCGAAATAACCAGAGCAAAGTGTGCTTTGCAAGCACGAAGCCCTGAGTTCAAAACCCCCCAGTTCCACCGAAAAAAAAATTTGTTCCAGTTTCTCTGTGCCACATAGCTCTATGCTCACAGATCCTATTTTTATGTAGTTGGGGATAAGGGGAGCAGTTCACAGAGGCTATGAGGGCCTTGTCTTTTTCTCCATCTATACATGGAAATCTTGTCTTTGCCATGAAAGAGGATTGCAAAATAGCAGCGGTTTTAAATGAAAACCTCAGTCCTGGACATGGTTGTCCTTCATTCAGCAAGCACTCATTAGCCTTCCAGACAGTTCAGTCTATGTGGTAAACCTGGCAAGCTGCCATTTGCAGGGGGTTCCTGTTCTCCTGGAGAGAAACAGAACTACATAAAGCAAAATAGGATACTTTGAAATAGTAAGGTCAAGCTCGGAATGGTGGTTCAGGCCTATAATTCCAGCACTCTTAAGGCCAAGCCAAGAGGATTGCAAATTTGAAGCTATGCTGAACCACATAGTCAGACCCTATCTCAAAAAAAAAAAAAAAAAAAAAAAGCCAAGTACCACTGGCTCACACCCATAATCCTAGCTACTCAGGAGGCAGGGCTCAGGAGGATCGTAGTTTGAGGACATCCCAGGCAAAAAGCAAGACACTCTCAAAAAATAATACCCAACACACACACACAAAAAGAGCTGGTGGAGTGGCTCAAGCGGTAGAATACCTGGCTGGCAGGTACTCATGCCTAGCAAGCATGAGTCCCTGAGTTCAAATTCCAGTACCACAAAAAAAAAAGTAAGGTCATATATAAGGTTACTGTGGTGCGGAAGGAGGCAGCTATGGAATTACAGGAAAGTGTTTCTGAAGAACTGAGACTCGTGGCATGAAGGCAAAGTTGGGGGAAGGCAAAAATGGGGAAATTGTTGTCTGGTTAGATAAAATTGTTGACAGGGCCAGGCATTTTCTAGACACAGGGAGGAAACTAGCTTCTCCAAAGTACCTGGCAGGTTTATTGAATTTAAGAGTGTCGAAGCAGTTTGGTTGTGGTCACCCATGCCTGTAATCTCAGGATTCGAGAGACTGAAGCAAGAGGGTCGCAAATTCCAGGCCAGCTTGGGCTACATAGCAAGTTCCAAGGCATGGGCTATGTAGTGAGACCCTGTCCCAAAAATCCAAGGGCTTGGGAAGCAGCTTAGTGGAGAGTACTTGCCTAGCATGCAGAAAGCCTGTGTTTGGTCCCCAGCACCACCAAAAACAAAAAAAGGTGAGAGAGAGAGGGGAAGGAGAATCAGAGCAGGAAATCCTTGTCTTTGAACTGTAACTCAGTGGGTAATTTTAGTTATGTGTCATTTGGGTCTCAAAGTCCATGCTGTCTGTGGGGAATTTGGGTGACTATATCACAGAGGACAGACCTTGTGATGTCCCTCAGGACTTAGGGCCAGTCCTTGGGTCCTCACACAAGACCTCCATTTGGCTGTGCTTTGTTTTATATGTCTGCAGCATCCAGGATATTGCAATCCTCTTCAACATCATCATCATTTTCCTCATGTTCTTCAACACCTTCGTCTTCCAGGCTGGCCTGGTCAACCTCCTATTCCATAAGTTCAAAGGGACCATCATCCTGACAACTGTATACTTCGCCCTCAGCATCTCCTTTCATGTCTGGGTCATGGTAAGACTGGAGCTCTGAATTCTGGACTCTTTAAAGAGCCAGGGACATCTTTCCTCTGAGAACCCCACGTCATTCTTTTATGTCGTACAGAATCCTTGGTAAGGCCTGGGGTGAATGAAAGTGCTCTGGGCTGGAGTGCTAGGCAGGTGAGAGTGTCACAGGCACTTTTGCCCAAACTTCTGTGTTAAAGAACAGCCTTATCCCAAACTCCAAGAGGTCTTCTGGAACAATTAATTTACCTTTTCCCAAACAGATCTACCTGGGGTAAAACAGGAAGTTGCATCTGTTTTATCACTAGCTGTTTGGGAAGAGGGGTGTTGATTAAGCAGATTCTTAGGCAATAGTGTCCCTTGGCTAGTGGTATAATCAGTGCTCTTTCTGGGAAATAGCCAAGCAAGAGTGCTGCTTTCCTTCTTGCACTTCATGCCGTCTACTGAGTCCCCATCCTTACACTAGGAGAAGTAGCTCCCAAGGGGCCTCCCTTTGGTTTTAACGCAGGCTCTAGGTCAGATCCAGTTATCATGGTTTCAGATTTTTTCTGTTTCACAGATTCTTCCATCTCTTTGAGTATCTCATGTTCTTATTTTGATGGAACACATTAAAACCTCAGGGTGGGGGTGCAACTCAGTGAGAGCGCTGCTTGCATAGCATGTGTGAGGCTCTGGGCTTGATCTGCAGAACCACAAACATAACAAAACCTTAGGGCCTCTAGTGACTTCTTTACTAAAACTGCCTTCTCAGCTGTCCCCTAATTCAGTTGTCCTTGTGACCCTGTGGAGAGAAGTAGGGCTCACAGGAGAGATGTAGAGCAGTACTGAAGGCTCAAGGTGCTTCCTGCAGGGGATTCTGTGCTTTAGTTCCTGGAGCCAAAGTAGGTCCTTGACTTCGTAATCTCAAATTGTTGATCTACTTAAGCCCTGAGTGCACCAAAACCTTTATCTGACGGGAGCTGAGCCTGACGGATTTTCAAGGCTAGACAACGGCCAGCTGAACTCTTAAGATGATATGTGTAATTTCTCCTTGGCAAAGGCAATGGAGTAGAAGGAGTAAATACTCAGTTCAAGCCTCCTCCCTCAGGGTTAAAGGATGTTCCCTGTGCAGCAGAAAAGGAAGCTCCCTTGAGAAACACTCCTTGAGCTTGTAAAAAGGAGGTGAGATTGGCCTGATTTTTCAGCTAAGTGGCTTCTCTGCAGCCAGACAAGTTGGTGATGTAGCCATTAACCTTTCCCCACCTACTCATATCTCTTTCAGAACTTACGCTGGAAAAGCCCCAACCGCTTTGTTTGGACAGATGGACTTCAAACACTGTTTGTATTCCAGAGACTAGGTAAGGACCAGAGCAACCTCAGGCTCACTTGGGACCCAGATAGGTCTTTGGCAGTGAGGCCCTTTGCCTTTCCAGCCCTGTCACAGCTGGCCTGGGATGGTTGGATTGCCACACCAAGGACAGAAAAAAAGAGTATTGGCCTTACTGGGAGATAGTGGGAAATGATGGGATAGGCCTCAGCCTCATTAGGTTTGGTTCTCGCCCTGAAAGGAACCTTCTGGATCATTCCTGAGGTTTCTTTCTGCTTTTGTCCTTAGTGGCAGTGCTGTACTGTTACTTCTACAAACGGACAGCTATGAGACTGGGTGACCCCCGCTTTTACCAGGACTCTTTATGGCTGCGCAAGGAGTTCATGCAAGTCCGAAGGTGACTGCGTCTTGTCACACTGATGAAAGTCTTCCTGGTCAAAGCCACCTGAGCTGCTCTTCAGGGAATGTAAGCCATCTGTGTCAGGAAACAGTTGGAATGCCACGGACAGGACCAGGCCAGGTGTTTTCAGCATTCAGGAAGGAAGAGCCTCCCTCTTGCAAATTAAAGTGTTCCCCAGTCTCTAGTACATAAGCTTTCCTTGGCTCCTACCTCAGTTCTGTCTGTTTCCTCTGTACCACTCATTCCCCTGACCCTCCTCCTTACTGTGGGCGCCATGGCTCTCACCCTTTAAAGCTTTTGATTCAGTCTTGGAATGGACCTCCCAGCCCCTACTCTTCTAGCACCACACTTGATTGATCAAAGGATGCAAAGAGTGATAATTACTGTGAGCCTGACTGATCACATCTTAGATATTTAGATTTTTACCCAAGGTACTTTTTTACATTTATAAATAGGAAATAAATTGAATTCTTTTTTCCATAATGGTGGGTGGAGTCTGTCTGTCTAGCTAAATCTCTGCATGGTTAAGAGGCATGCTAAGTCAGAGCCTCAGCATCTACTTGACCAGTGGGCAGGGTGAGCCATGGGTCAAATACAGGTACATACTGAGCCCCAGTGTGAGTCAAGGTATTTCTGCAAAATTTCATGCACTCTGATACCCAGCCCCCCAGCTGGAGTTCCAGACTTATGTGCTTCCTTTGGACACTCTCTATCAGAGGTTGAAGTATTCACAGGAGAATAAAATGCTCCTTATCCTGTTTTGGTAAAAGAAAATTTAAAAATTCATATACTAGTGTCTATTGCCAGACCACCACCAAACTCATTGACGTACACTCATACTTGTCTTTTTTGAGTCACAGGTTCAACCGAAGCAGGCTGGGGCTAGCTGATTTTAGCCAGGCCAGCTTGTGCGTGTGTCTGTGGTCAGCTGCGCGTCAACTAGGCAGCTGTGGTGAGCTTCAGATCCTTTAACTGTTGGCTAACCCAGGTGGCCTCATGCGCAATGCCAGGTTACTCAGCTCTGGGCATGTGGTTCATCCTCCAGCCCATTAGCCTTGCTGGGCCTGTTCACAGACAGTGGCTGAGGAGCAGGAGAGAACAAGCCCCAGTGTGCATTCCCATTTCAAGCCTCTGATTAGACACCCATTGGTCAGAGCAAGTCATGTGACTGAGCCCAGGATCAGAGTGGGAGGCAATACAGTTTCCAAAGTCGTGGGTAAAAGCAGGGAGCCTGGCTCAGTGGCACAGCGTGGGCTTAGTTAGCATGCTCACTGCCCCAGATTGAAAAAAAGTTAAAAGACATGGATACGAGGAAGGGCAAAGCACAGAGACCATTAATTCAGTCAGTCCGCACCCAACAGTTGCTCTGTGAAACTTGTTATTTGGAACAGGGGACTGCAAACTCTGAAAGGCCAGTTAGCAAGTATTTTGCATTTTGAGGGTGCACCTACTCAACTCAACATTGGAGCATGAAATCATCAACAGATGGTATGGTGCATGAATGAATGAACATGTTCCAGTAAAACTGTTTATGAGCTGGGTATTGGTAGCTCGTGTCTGTAATCCCAGCTATTCAGGAGGCAGAGATCAGGAGGATAGCAGTTTGAAGCCAGCCTAGGCAAACAGTTCCTGAGACCCTATCTCAAAAATACCCAACAAAACAGGGCTGACAGAGTAGCTCAAGTGGTAGGGCACCTGCCAATCAAGTGTGAGATCCTGAATTCAAACTCCAATAGCACAGAATAATGGTAAAGTAGGTATCTTGGTGCCCTGCAACTGTAGCCCTAGCCACTGGGGGAGTAGCATGTCTGAGGTGGGAGGAGCACTTGAGCACAAGGTTGGGGGACCAGCCTAGCCAACAAACATATCAAGACCCCATCTCAAAATACAAAGAAAATTAACATTCAATAAATAGCCTAAGGCTCCAACTTCAAATTCTCTACTTAATGGTTTTTCAGTTTTTACTTCCTGGATCTAATATCTGGGTCTGACCCTTTTACCATCTATTGTTTTATTTTTATTTATTTTGTAGTAAGGGAGGGGTTAATAGAGTTTATTAAAGGTGAGGGAAAGGCATCACAAAAATTAATGGTGGCCCCACCTGGTCAGGTGGGCTAGAGGGGTTGGAGAGGCAGGAAGCAGAGAACACTATTTTAATTTCTGTCTCCTTATTACTGGGTTAAGTAATCTAAGAAGACACTAGTCCAGAAGACTCCAAGTTCTTGTGTCACCTGAACAGAGAACTGAACAGAGACACAAATTGCAAAACAGTAGCAAAACTTTATTGAAGGAAAAGGAAAGAAAGAGTAGGAGGAAAGCACCACAAGAGAAGTGATGGGCTCTGCCAGGTGACACAGAAGCAGTGATTTCTTCGTTTAAGCCTAATTTATAAATTGTAAGGCAGGAAAAATCTGGACAGCCCTTAGGGAGGGGCTAGGAAGGGGCAGGTTTACTTAACATAGCCTTATCACATAACGAGGGGTACTCTGTGCATGTGCTTATTTTAATTTTTGGCCTTTAGTTATATGTATGAGAAGCAACTAATATTCACGAGTGCCTAAGTAAGAGGACGTGGCCTGGGAAGTCAGATTGTGGGCAGGCCTTTTTTAATAAGCAAGGCAGAACCAAAGGTGCTTTTTTTGGACACTATCTTGCAAAGACATCAGCACCACTAAGGTATTTGCAACTTAGAGGGGTTTATTGCTCTAGAGATGGCTCAGGGCCATGCTGGTGGTGTAGGATATCTGTCTGTTTAAGAGAGGTCCTATGGTGGGTTATTTTCCTTTGCTAGCCTGCCTCAACTTCCCCCTAAGAGACAGTGTCCCAAAAGATTATTTTGAGGGGTTGTAGAGGAAGGAAGTTCTGTCTTCAGTATCTGCTTCAGAGCTGACAAGGGGCTGTAGACCTGCCTCATAAGCCTATTGACCCTCTTACTGCTGTCCCTTGGGACTCAGTTGGATACCAGGTAACTCCCATTGCCTGAATTTTTGTCTAGTATGGTCAGGGTTGCTCATGGGGATCTTGTTCGTCTAGAGAGATCCATAGCCCTCTTGCCTCATGACTTGAATTCTACAGACTTTTATTTGGGAAGAGATAACCCTGGTTAACAAGTTTAGAAGGCATGATCCAAACATGAACAAAAGGGGCTCAGCCAGGTGCAACAGCCAGGATGTATAATTTTAAGTCTTAAGCCATGGTCCCCAAGACTCAGATAATTAATTGTTGTTGGATTTGGGAGGCTTTTTTTATTATTATTATTTATTTTGTTGCCTCTCTGACCAGACCTCACTGATTTATATAACAACACTCTTTTTCTAGAAAAAGACAAAGCTATTTTTTTCAGCTGTCAGAGGATCTAATTGTTCATTTTGAAAAATTACAACCATAAGAGAGTCGATTGATTACTTTTCCTATAGGTGTCTGTGGCTGTAGCTATCCCTAACCCCTGAATGGCCCATTTTGTTTGAACTGCCACTGTAACGGGGCAGTTAAGGACTGACTGTTTCCAGCAATATCTCCAGTAGAAGGGGCCTGGTGTGCCAGGGGGCAGGTGCCAGTCTAATTAGAAGGTAAACATTAATAGGAGTCATCCGATACAGAAAGAAGATGCCCAGACTCTAAGCAGAACTTAAAACACCATTACAAAGCAGAATACAAGAGAGAGTAAACAACTCCATGAGTATAAATTATTAAGAGAATGTATCTAGAGCCAGTAGAAGTAGTCTTAATTGCCTTTTGCTTAAACAGGTGGGCCTGGCCAAAGATACGCGTTTTCCCTTTGTCAGAAGCCTGTGAAGTTTAATACCAGATACAGATGCAAAGGAAGCCCTTTTTTAAATATCTCAGCTTTTCTTACCTTTTAGAGTGAAAGGAATAGGAGGTCTCAGCGGGCCCCAACCCCCTTGTTGGAGAAACCAGTACCAAACACCCCGTGTAGATAAGATAAGCAATGCGGCAGGGCACGGTTAGGGAATAGAATGTGGGAAGTAGCGGGGGTACATGCAAGATGTGAAGTACGTGCAAGAGTATGAGGTACGCGCAAGATTGCTCTGCCTGCTTTACCCAATGTTGATAACGAAAATATGCACGCCACCGCAGTCTATATAAGATTTCCCTAAAGAGGCTCAGGGTCATGTTTTCCTAACCGGTCCTGCGTGTCCGTGTGGGAGCTCGACCCTGGCTAGCCAGCCAATAAACTCTGCTTTGTTGATTGCATTCACGCCTGGCTCTCTGTCTCTCGGGGGAATAGGATTCGGGTCCTAACATTTGGAGGTCCCACCGAGATTTCATTTTCTCGAGAGACAGAACCTGCCTGCGAGAAAGCAGGGGCGATCCCAATCCTAGGCGTTGGGAGGGGATCCCAGACCCTCATTTGGAGGAACTTGAGTGTTCCATTTGGGCCGCGGCGGGGATTCGGCCAATCCCAGGGAGATTTCATTCTGGGAATCTCGCAGGAGGACCACAGGGTCCTATGGGAGAGGCTTTCCTCTCATTTGGGCTCGAGCATTTTAGGAACCCTGGCGCCAGGTGAAGAACTAATTGAGCTAGTCGACCGACCACCCGTCAAGTGGACGCCTTTCGGCCTGATATCCCAGTTGGACGGTGAGGAGGTTGAATGGGGTGCGCACCAGTGTGAGAGAAGGACCGGTCCGAGCCAGTGCTGGAGAGTGTTGTGTGTGTGGAATTATTGTTGCCTTTACCCTTTTTTTCTATCTCTCTTTGGTGTTTGAGTCTCCTTCCACAATGGGACAGGACAAACAACCCCAAAGTCTCTGATCCTTTCTCACTTTTCAGAAGTTAAAGAAAGGGCCTTAAATGCGGGTCTGGTCATCAAGAAAGGTAAGTTCGACACCTTTTGTTCTGCAGAGTGGCCCACCTTTGGAGTCGGGTGGCCCATTCAAGGTTCCCTCTCCCTAGACTGATCACTAAGGTTAAAGCAGTCATTTTTCAGCCAGACAATCTGAGGCCATCCAGACCAAGTTCCTTACATTTTGGTTTGGGAGGATCTGGTGAGGAACCCTCCCCCTTGGTTAACAGTTTTTCTGACCCACCCCTCCAGTTCGGCCCCCGGGGCTAAAACCCCAGTCACGCCCGCCTTGGTCATAAAGGAGGAGGAAAAACTTCCTCTTCCCACCTTGACCGGTCCCTCAAATTAGGGCATCTCCTCACCAATACTCCGGTCTTACCAGAGAGTTCCCCCCTTTACCCATCCCTCGCAGGGGCAGAGGAAGATCGGCCGCCTCCATACGTGATCCCCCTGGCCAAGCCAGTGCCCCGGAGGAGGAAATTTCCTCATCCTCCTCAACAGGACTGGCAGCAGGAGGAGGAATGGGTCGACAAACTTCGCCCCCGAGGGATCCGGGAAAGGGAGGGGGAAGACGGGCCCCCTCATCAACACAGGGGGAGGAAACTGTCCCTAC